TAACAAAACAAAACGGCCCAGAAAAACAGACTTTCCAACTGATAGCTAAATCAGCACGCAACAATTTCATTGGTGCCAGTGGGGATCGAACCCGGGTTGCTCCCGTACTGTGATACTTATAACGAGCGCTAACCATGTGAGCAACCACGGCTCTCAACGACATCGTTCCGTTCGTGTACAGCGCTGAAGATAGCAGAGTAAAAAATTAGAGATTGTGGTGTTTGAAATTTGTCATTTATGAGAGTGAATTTTATCTGTGTACTCTGTAACAAATAACTATATAGAAAAAAATGTGAAAATGACATTTCGCCATTTTTGTTTGTGTACTGGTTAAGAACTCGATCAAAAATTTGATAATTTTCCTGTTTTTATACGTTATTTCCAAAAAAATGTGAAAATGACTATTCGCCATTTTTGTTTGTGTACTGGTTAGGAACTCGGTCAAAAATTTGATAATTTCTCCGTTTTTATACGTTATTTCTAATGTTGTTTTACATCAAATTAATTGTGAAGATATTTTCTTTTGGAAATATGTATCACTACGACGATTCAAAAACGTTTACATATAATAATTTACCTCGAAATTCACTATACGCGATTATCGTTTATTGATTATATGTTGTTTAAAAAGTATTCTTATCAGTTTTTTGTGTTAAATGGACGCTAAATATAAAAGAATGCTTCAGTATTGATAGCAATTTATTAACGAAATATCTGTTGAGATCTAGAAATTATTAATACTTATTTTTATTTATTTATTAAAATAATAAATAAATAAAAATAAGTATACATTTATCTATATTGAGTACTAGTTGTTCCCCGCGATCTCGCCCGCGTGGAATATGGATTTCATGGGTTTTAATTTTTTTGCGCGGAACCCTAATTCTTTTTCTAAAACAAAAGTAGTTCAAGTTATTCCTTATATCATCAGCTATCTGCCAGTGAAAGTCCCGTCAAAATAGATCCAGCTGTTTCGGAGATTAGCTGGAACAAACTGTTACTAGTACTTTCATATGCATTTAATAAAAAGCTGTTGTTTTAACATTACAAACAGACACTTCAATTTTATTTATTTGTAGATATAGATATAAGATATTATTCATATTGGTGTCATTTTAAAGGGAATATCATGTACTATTATAATAATAAAATAATTGTCTCCAGTAAATATTATACTTTTCTTGTAAACTCGAAATAAAAAATAAATACGATTTATTTTTATATCCCCATATGCTTTATTTTCATCCTTTATTTTTTATTTGACCAATTTTCTTTTAACAAAATTAAATTCTGAATTCGTTGAGCTTTTTGAGAATATTTTTATTTGAATGTTAGGTAGGTACCTATATTAGTTTTTCAGTAGTAATCGTTTTTGTTACGACAGTCTCGCGCCACGGTAATTTTATCTATACAGTATTCCAACTTCATACAAACGGACGAAGCGAGAGCTATGCCTACGCGCCTCGATCTCGGCATGCGCTCGGCATGCAGACAGTCGTGACTGTGCCGCAGTGATGATTTTGTGGAATATATATAAAAAATGGAGGAAATAACTAATAGAATAGAAATAAAGAAATAATAAATGCGAACTTCATTTAAAACCAAACATATAAATTATAAAATATCTTTTACTTGGTTATGGATACCTCTTTATCCAAGTAAAAGATATTACTTTTCTCCACCATTGTCCATGTTTCCCAAAATAATTTTTAATTAAGCTTTATATTATAATGAGGATTTTTTATACTTAAAAATTTAATAATAAAGTAATTCGTACGTCTCAGCCGAGGCGCAAATATTTTTCGGTCGCAAATTCATAAGACCGATTTGTTATTCAAACATAAACATGGTTTTTTAATTAAATCTACCAATCAAAAAACGATACGCATTTTTATTGGACACTTCCTATTGAATTTTCAGAGTACCTATTATATTTGATTATATAAAAAAAGTATATTTACAATCATAAAACTAAATGGAAACACAAAGTAGGCAAATGTGATGCTGAAGGCAGGCAGCCCTATTGCGTGTTTACGTACCGCGCCGCTGTAGGCATTTATTTCAAAGATACGGCCGAGTTACAATACTGTATAGATAATATTACCGTGCTCGCGCGGTCGTAAAAAAGTTACTGCGCGGACAGGTGGGACGAGAATCACTTGCGCGGCGTTGACGGTTCGGTGGATAGGTACCTACCTACTGTTATTACCTAAATACCCGTTACCTACTATACAACAAAATTTGACAAACTGTCGCTGCGTCGTGGACACTAAAATGTAAACTGCCTACCTACCTGCCTAAGTACGTCGGTACTAAGGAAACAGTCTTGACGGGTCACTTGTCTTGATAAAAACATGTGTTTACATCTAGTGATATTGTGTGTATATAAAAAAAGTAAGAAGACAGGTAAGTATTTTTGAAAACAATTTATAGGTAGGCAGAACTAATTACAATTATTATCTAAATATTATAAATGCGAAAGTTTGGATGGATAGATGTATGTTACTCAATCACGCCAGAACAGCTGAAGGGATCTGGATGATATTTAGCTCAGAGATAGGTTATACCTAGTCTGGAATAACACATTTGATACCGTTTATTCAGGTATTTCGTTCCTGTGGAATAATTTTCGAGTTCACGCGTTTGAAGCCGCTGGCAACAGCTAGTACGGATATAAACTGCGATGACTGTTCCAGTTCATACTTCGGCGTCGTGAACTCTTGAGTGATCGCTGCATGACCACCCGGGGAAAACTAAACATAATAAAATAAGCAATCTATATTAGGTATCTATAGAGCCATAGAGGTATAGTATAAAGCGATAACGCAGCGCCTAATAATTTAGTACGAGTGGCACGATGCCAGGTGAGACAACGTGCTTTTTGGCCGCGCCCACCAATGAGTTCGAGCCCGCGATTTGTGCCACCTACGCAATTCCTTTGTATAGTGCGACGTTGCCACTCTTATTAGTTATTCCGCTTTGTAATATTTTATTTATAGGTGATATTTTGTTTATGTAGGTATTCGATAGATTCCTATAGTCTGTTTTTTCGCAGGAGACAAAAATAACAGATATTTATTAGATTCGTTTAGCACGAATAATACAGTTTTTATGATTCTGGTTCAGATTAGATTTAATTTTAGTCACTTAAATTTCGTATATTGTTCAAAATAATGAAATAAATCCACAGAATCTGCAGTTACGAAAAAAAGCAATATCATTTTAGTCTCCGGCGAAAAAAAAAAGATATATATCATGATTAATTTACCAACTAGTTATTCGTTTACTAAATACGAAAAAATATTTAGACGTCATTTTTCTTCCAATCTTGCTGTACTGAATATTTACGTAGTCCTTATATTAATAATTATAATCGCATAAGTTGATACAAAATGCTATGCAATAGCTTTACTGCGGCAGTCCCCGAGTGCCACACGTCTTTTTTTTTATAGAAGAGGGGGTAAACGAGCATGCGGCTCATCTGATGTTAAGTGACTACCACCGCCCATGATCAACCGCAACCCCAGGGGAATTGCAGGTGCGTTGCCGGCCCTTTAGAAAGGAGTAAGCTCTTTTCTTGAAGGTCCTCAGGTCGTATCGGTCCGGAAAAATCGCCTGTGGTAAACTATTCCACAGAGAGGTCGTACGAGGAAGAAAACTTCTTTTGAAACGTACAGTGGTGGACCGCCAAGCATCCAGATGGTGTGGATGGTATCGGGATGTTTGCCGCGTAGTGCGTTCACGAAATTTGGTGGCTGGGATTAATCCGAACAATTCCTCAGAGCACTCCCCATGGTATATGCGAAAAAAATGCAAAGAGATGCAATATCTCTTCGCAGCGCCAGTGAATCGAGCCGATCGGAAAGCACTCGGTCGTCGACGATTGGAGCCGCTCTGCGCTGGATGCTGTCAAGTGGAAGGAGCTGGGGAGCCCCAGCCCAGAGCTGGGAACAGTATTCCATGTGCGGCCGAACCTGCGCCTTATAAAGTTGCAGGCGGTGTGCCGGCATGAAATACTGTCCCGCTCTGCTGAGCACGCCAAGCTTTTTAGAGGCCAATTTGGCCTTCTCTTCCAAGTGACCACGAAACTGCATGTCACTCGATATGTTGATGCCGAGGATTCCGATACTGGCTGAGGCAACAAAAGGAGTGCCTTGAAACTGAGGAGATACGACAAAGGTGTTCTTTTTAGCGGTTAACGCGCAAACTTGTATCTTCTGGGGGTCAAACTGAACTAGATTTAGTCGCCCCCAATCCGAGACTCTGTTCGGTAGAGACTCGACTTCAGACACAAGTTTGTCCCGGTACTCGGAGACGTTTTCCCGAGAAATATCGGCACGGCCGGTGTACAGAGCATCACCAGTGCTGTCATCTGCATAGCAATGAATGTTACGGGTTTGCAACATATCATTGATATGCAGAAGAAACAGCGTTGGCGATAGCAAGCAGCCTTGTGGAACACCAGTATTAATAGGCTTGCAATCGGAGCTTGCAGCGTTTACAACTACCTTGATGCTCCGATCTGCAAGAAAGCTGGTGATCCAATCGCACAATTTCTCGGGAAGCCCATAGGAAGGGAGCTTCGAAAGAAGCGCTTTATGCCAAACCCGATCGAAGGCCTTTGCAATGTCCAAACTAACGGCCAATGCCTCCCCCTTGGACTCTACTGCCTCCGCCCATCTGTGAGTTAGGTAGACCAGAAGATCACCAGCAGACCGACTACGGCGAAAACCGTATTGGTGATCACTAATCAGCTGGTGATCCTCAAGGTACCTGAGCCTACCATGAGCTGGCAGTTAAAAATAGACTCCATTGTTTTGGAGAACAAGCAGCTGATGGCGATGGGCCTGTTGTTTAACGGGTATGAGCGATCGCCTTTATTAGCGCTCGGGTGGACGAAAGCCGTTTTCTATGATTTCGGTACTACGCCTAGGGAGTAGGAGTACTTTTAGAGTGGAGTAGTATTTTTACATTTGCACATCCTAGGGCAATGGCCGTAGTTACCGCACACATAGCATTTCACCGAAATAGCTGGACATGAAGTTTATCAGTACTACGCCGTGTACATCAGTACACTGAGCAGCACAACGTGGACAAGGCGACGCCGCGGTCCTGCCGTGCGCTACTCGCGCGCCGCGCCAGCCGCCGCGACCGGCGCCGCGCCCGCAGCCGCGCCGCCCGCCGCGTCGCACCGACAGCGTCTCAACGCGCACGGGCCCGTAGCTTGCCGAACTGCTGAAGCTAGCTGCTTCCATCATACGCTTGCTGTCTATTGACATTTCATCTGCTTGGTATATTTTAATTGCTTTCTCCAGAGTCAATTCATCTGTCCGTAGCAACCGGTCCCTTACAATTCTGCTCCTTATGCCGCACACAATACGGTCGCGAATCAACTCTTGCTCTAAATTTTTAAATTCACAATTTTTACTGAGTAACTTTAACGCTGTTACATATTGATCAATGGATTCTCCAGATTCTTGATACCTCGTAAAGAAATTATATCTCAGTAATGTTATATTAGATTTAACACCGAAATACTCATCAAATTTTTTCATCAATATTTCGACATCCTCACGCTGCTCTTCTGAATCGAACGTAAAGTCTCGTAAATATCAAATCCATCTGATCCAATCCGATTAATAAGCAAACTCGCCTGTATGCTTCCTTCTACATTGTGCACCCCCGATGCTTTGAGAAAAAGATTGAATTGCGCCTGCCACCTCTTCCATGCGTCAGCCCGGCCGACGGGGCTGCCATCTAAACTCAATTCGATAGGTGGTCTTGCATGCTCCATCTCTTACACTTAATTTACGTTAACAACAACAATTTAAATTAACGTTATTTAAACGTAAAATCCAGAATTATTTAAGTATTTTAAGCGCTGCCACCATGTAGTGACAATGAAACAACGGAGTTCAGATGACAACTGTTTTTAATAATAAAGGCGGTTCTTAAGATACAACATTTTAAGACTACCCACAACAATTGGGCCCAATGGGACAGCTTGCTGATTCAGGATGGAGTCCTGTGCTGTAAATGGGACATTGGTTGCAAATGGTTGTCCCTAAAGCTAAAGTGCCGAATGTTCTACAGCTGTACCATAATGGTTGTCCAGGAGTCCATCTGGGAGTTAAACGAACTCTACTGAAGATCCGAGAACAGTTTTACTGGGTCCATTATCGTGACAATGTCGAGGATTGGTGTCGCACATGTACAAGTTGTGCGGCTGTGAAGGGAACTCAGACACGTAGTAGAGGAGTATCGAAATTGTACAATGTTGGTGCACCATGGGATAGGACAGCCCTTAACATTCCCGTGTGGAGTTGCCAGTCCTCCTATCGGGCGCGTCCCCAGGTGGCGGATAGGGGAATGCCACTCAGATATGAGTGGTAGCGGGAAACCGTCGCGGACCAAAACTGGCTGGGTTTGGGCGTACCTTTGGTTCCGAATGGAATCAAGTACCTGCTAGTTGCTTCCCGTATCCTCTCCACTGAGAGGAACAGAGGATGTGACATGCGCGGTGAGATGCCAGGTACACTCGGCTTTTGCCGACGCCGGGCAACACGTAATCGCGGGAATTGAATGGGCTCAGAGTTCCCTCACCCGGTCTCTGGGCAGGCATGGGAAGAACCCGTATCGACTCTGTCGTGGATCATGTCTCGCGGCGCCTGAGGGGCCGATGGCTCTTGGCTTAACCGCCTGGAGTCACGAGGATGATAACCTCTATAAAAAATCACCCGAAGCTCAAGCGTGGCACGCCGTGAGGAGCTGCATGGCTGATGGGTAAATGTTCAGTCGTTAGCGTTGCCCCCCGTCAGGGTACCGGCCGCCACCCTTGATGGGTTATGCATAGGCTTATCCGGGCAAAGGGGGCTCTGCTCGGATGGACCGTTATTTCCTCCACACTCGTGGGAAAAAAAATGGATAAATCTTTGAAAAATGTAGATATAGGAAAACAGGATGGATCAGACGTGGACAGATCGCGTGGGACGTCTTCCGCCAGGAAACGTCCAGTGTGCCGGTCTTCGGACGAGGAAGACCTGTCAGCCCCCAAGTTGGCGACTTCGAGGAGGGGTCGGCAGGCATCGAGAGGGGTAAGTGCCTCGCAGCCGCGAAGGGATAAGCACGGAAGATTCGTGTGCTCCAATACCTCGGCGGCTAGTGAAGCAGAGAGCGACATGGGGGTCACTACGGAGGACCCTGGCGATGGCGGTGAAAGCTGTGCCTCGCTGGGGAGTTCAAAGGCGGAGCTCAACGCCGCCAAGAGGGAACAGCGCAAAGCCGTCGCAGCCGACGAAGTGTCTGAAATGGCCCGACGCGCTCGCGAACGACGAGCTGCTCTGGCGGCGGAAAAAGGAGAGCCATCTGCGGTGGCCTTGATCCAGCTGGCTCTGGATGGGGTGGTATTAGTCCTGAAAGTTGCCACCAAGTCCGGCAGCCTGAAAGGAGGCTGCCGCGGATATCAGGGAGGCGGTTGGCATTCTCCTCAACAGGACGGCCTCTGACGAGGTCGCAAAGCTACAGGAGGAAAACAGCCGCCTCAGAAATGACCTAGAAGACCTCCGGCAGCAAGTCGCAGCACTGAGCGAGCAGCAGAGATGTACATCCACCGATGGCTCATCTGTAGTGGCCTCGACTCCCGCACCGCGACCGACAAGCCCTCGTACCGACGAAGAGGTAGCGCATTGTCCGGCTCTGCATGCTCCAGTGCGGGAGCATGGTTAACGCTCGGCTGGAGGCGATTTCTCGGCGTCTCCCGGCGGAAATCCTAAGTCCGCCTTTGGCGGCTGACACGCGAAGGACTGAGGAGCCGCCGAGACTTGCGTCTCAAAAGGGGAAGCCCACGGAGGGTAAAAAAAGCCCGCGGAGGGAGCTCCTCCGAGCGACCAGCCCACGACAGCCGGGTCTAAGGGTGAGACATGGGCGAAAGTCGTGGGCCGCAAGAAGGCCCGCAAAGCCGCCAAGAAGGCCGCAGCAGCTGCACACGTCCCAGGTGGAACTGCAAAGACGGCTCCTCAACCTGCGCGGCGGACTGCCAAAGGCGGTCGCAAGAAACCGGCTGTACGTGTTCCGCGGTCCAATGCGGTGACACTAACATTGCAGCCCGGAGCTGTGGAGCGTGGCGTAACGTACCAGTCGGTCATCGCTGAGGCCAAGGCCAAGATCAAATTATCAGATCTTGGCCTTCAGTCTGTCACCCTCAGGCAGGCTGCCACGGGTGCGTGGCTGTTCGAGGTGGCTGGCACTGTGAGCGACAGTGCCGAAAAGGCGGACGCATTGGCCGCCAAGATGAGAGAGGTCCTCAACCCTGAGGACGTCCGGGTCTCCAGACCAATGAAAACCGCAGAAGTGCGGATTGCTGGCCTGGACGACTCCGTGACATCTGAGGATGTGGTGGCGGCCGTTGTCAGAAGCGGAGAGTGTCCGCCGGACAAGGTGCAGGCCGGCGATATACGTACCGATGCCACCGGACTTGGCGCGGTCTGGGTTCGGTGCCCTGTAGCGTCGGCAAAGAAGATCGCCGATAGCGGCAGATTGCTGGTAGGCTGGGTGGCGGCAAGGACGAAGCTACTACAGCCCCGGGCTTTGCAGTGCTTCCGATGCCTGAAAAAAGGGCACGTCCGGGCGAAGTGCGCACCGCCGAGGTTGACCGTAGTGACCTTTGTTACCGCTGCGGCCAGCCTGGCCACAAGGCGGCCCTGTGCACCGCGGCGTTCAACTGCAATCTTTGCTCTGCTGCGGGAAGGCCAGCGGAGCACAGAGTAGGCGGAGGGGCCTGTGGGGCGCCTACCAGCAAGGCGAAGGCCAAAAAGGAAAAGAAGAGGAGCACCAAGCCGGCCGAGTTAACCTCGCTGCCCACACAGGCCAGTAGCTCCACGGCCGACTCCCGGCCCAGGATCGTTGCCGAGGGAATGGAATGTCAATAATGGCAAAGTTCCATTTTCTCCAGGGTACCATCAACCACTGTGCCAGAGCTCAGGATCTCCTACTCCATAGCATTGCAGAGTGGTCGATTCACGTGGCTGTGGTCGCCGAACCGTACTTCATTCCCGCTCGTGACAACTGGCTGGGATGCGCTGACGGTTTGGTGGCCATTATTGGCGAGACTCTGATCGACCCGTCTCGGGGCCGCGGCTGGGTTGCTGCGGTCTCGGGTGGCATCGTTATTGTGGGGGCGTATTTCTCCCCCAACTAGAGTCTCGCCGACTTTGAGGGTTTCCTTGTCGAGTTGGGCGCCGTTGTAGGCCGCTATCACCCTCGTCCCGTTCTGGTGCTCGGGGATCTCAACGCAAAGTCATCAGCGTGAGGATCTCCGGTCACTGATCCTCGGGGCGGGGTGCTAGAAGAGTGGACAGTGACGACTGGTCTGATCGTCCTGAATCGGGGTTCGGAATACACGTGCGTGCGGTAGCGAGGCGGGTCGATAGTGGACGTCTCGCTCGCTAGCCCCTCTGTCGCCAGCCGAGTCCGTGACTGTCGCCGTAGGGGTGGAGACGTTGTCGGACTATCGGTATATCCGGTTCGACGTCTCTGCCCAGACTGCGAGAGGCCGCCATCCAACTACCCCGATTAACGACGGCCCGCGTTGGGCGCTTAAGCGCATCGACAGGGAACTACTCGAGGAAGCTGCCTTAGTCCAGTCCTGGATTTGGGAGTCGGCAACGGACGGCCCCGTCGACGTCGAAGCAGTGGCGCTATGGTTTCGCGGGGCGATGACGCAGATCTGCGACGCGTCTATGCCCCGTGTCCGCCAATGGTCCGCAAGGCACCAGGTGTACTGGTGGACCGCCGAGATTGCGCAATTGCGCATAGCGTGCGTTGCGGCCCGTCGCCGGTACACCCGATACCGGAGACGGCGTCGACGGGATTCCGCGGAGGAGGACACGCTGTATGAGGTGTACCGCGCGTCTAAGGAGACTCTGTGGCTGTCCATCGGCGACTCGAAGTCGCGTGCCAGGGAGGAGCTGCTGGGGTCCCTAGATTGGGATCCGTGGGGGCGCCCCTACCGTTGGGTACGGGGCAAGTTGCGTTTCTGGGCGCCTCCACTAACGCAAAAAATGCAACCCCAGTTGCTAGAGACGGTGGTATCGGTTCTCTTCCCTGAAAGAGTGGAACACGTTCCCCTGGCGATGGCTTCGCCCTCAGCCACAGACTCTCCAGAGGAGGAGAGCATCGATGTCCCCAAGGTGACGCAAGCAGAGATGAGAGCGGCAATGGCGCGACTCCGAGCCAAGAACACAGCGCCCGGACCCGACGGAGTTCCTGATCGAGGTCTCGT